TTGTCATGAATGTTAAAAGTACTATGAAAATTCATACTTGAGAAAACTTTAAATCACCATACCATGTACATATCAATTAAAATATATGACTCAACAATTAACGTATATCATAAAAATTATGATTGTAAAGGAAATAAAATAATACCAAAACACGAAACACAACTCTTTATATATATAAAAAAAAATGAAAATAAGACAAAAACAAGAAAGTGATTGTGATATGTTGACCTACACACGCTGGTCTTCACAGACCTGAAGGTGTGGTTTCAGTTAAGCCTAAAAAAATTCAAATAATTTTCTAACACTCTATGTGTTATTTTAAGACTTTTAATTGGAGGATAGTGTAAGAATAATAGTTGGAGCTATAGTTTGTTTTATCACAAGAGAATTGTTTGGCCTGATGGTAAGGGCACTCGCTTCGTAATCTCTTGGTCGTGGGGTCAAATCCAGTCCCCGATCATGCTTGCCCGTTTAGTTGTGGAGGCGTTATAATGTTATGATCAATTCCACTATTCGTTGACAACAAGTACCCAAGAGATGGCGGTGGGTGGTGTTGACTAGCTGCCTTCCCTGTAGTCTATCACTACAAAATTAGGGACTCGTAATCTGTGGGTTGTGGGGTCAAATCCCGTCCCCAATCATGTTTGCTCGTCCAGTCATGGGGGCGTTGTAATATCATGGTCAATTCCACTATCCGTTGGTAACAAGTACTCTAGAGATGGCGGTGGGTAGTGTTGACTAGCTGGTTTCCCTCTAATTTCTCACTCCAGAATTAGGGGAGGGATAGCGCAGATGGCCCTCGAGTAGCTTTGTGCGAAATTCAAAATGAAATAATGCAATCGTAAGAGGTTTGAAAAGGAAATCGTAGTATACACGAACTATATTTAACGCAAGTTCAAATGTGTTAAAGCTGATTAATATGAAACGTTTCAGGACTAACCCTTCTCTCTCAATAAAACGACGTGAAGTTTTGTCCCATTTTAGATTTATCATATATAATACTGATCCAGAAGTGACACCTAAAATTGTGTTAAGGAAGTAAAGTCGTTGGATTTGAATATCACAAAATAATCTGATTAATAGATACTTCAGCGGGTTCTTGTGTTCACTTAAACAGGTCGACAAATGATACTTGCTCATTAAAAGGAAGGCAAGTTACTTAGAAACAAGTTTCCAAGATTTATTCGCAGACATGCGGAAATAATAGACATCTTTACATACGAATGTCTGATTTCTTTCTTTATGTCGGGTTAGGTCTGAAACATGCTAATATTTCTCCTTGCTGTTCTTGAATGTTGGTTTGAAATAACTGGGATTGCCATTTCCAAACACAGGAATATTACAGATCTATATTAAAACAGAGGAACGTTTTTGTTTGGAACATGAATGTGACGAATCACCTCATCGAGGCTAACTTTCATTCAAATGTGCAGCTGAATAAGTTAAACAAAGAGCTCTTCATACGATAGGCTATTTTGAAATACCTGTCATGTGAAATTTAAGGCCTAAATTTACGTTTTTCTTAACGAAGTTGTGGAATCCAAGAAGTCTGCTATAGCAACAAAGGGAATGGAAGCCGGACGTGAAAACGGACATTCCAAGGAAGACATTAAATCTTGGAACAATCATTTTAATGCCAACAGGTATAAAACATAATCACGCTTCCAACTAATAGCAGTGTCTTTTAATGAGGCGTGGCAAATAGGGCTTTTGGTGCTGCCCGGAAGAATTCCAATGGTACCACTGCAACAGTTGGGTCATTAAATAAATGACCTATGACATGGTAGGTATGTGCAAATTTATTACAACATTTCAACAGTGAAAAAAAAAAGAAAAAGAACTGTGGAAAAAGAGGCTCTAAGGTAACCTTCGTGACCAGCAATCAACGTAAGGCCCTAATCAACATAAGGCCCTGCCGTGGAGTCTGTGGGCGGTCAAACAATGCGGAGATGGAGAGAGGGGTTAGTGCACTTCCGGCCCCTACAGCGGGAGAAAAGTCCAAAGTAGCCTGAATCATATCTCCAACCAAGATGACTAGAGGCTGTTTCGATTACCACTTTTTTTTTTATTTGCTTCTGTATAGTCATACCAGTTGTAAAAATGTTTCGGTTTCTTTCACTTTCGCGCACGCATATAACCTAGTAGACGGATAATTGCTACTTAGGAATGTCCTCGGGTGCTTTTTGCATTTTATTTTAAATAGTATCTGTCTCTGTAAGTAAAAGGAGGGGAAGAATTTTCGAGGTCTGCGGGTTAACGTGCGGTAACCGCATGCAGTTATTTGTGAAGCACTGTGCACGCTAGATAAGTTGAAATAATCACTATAACTCACTTCACAGACCCACATTTTGTATTCAGTTGTGTTACCTTCAAAAACTAAAACATGAGAATTCTTTTAATTCTATTGACCAAACCGCGTGAAATAATTTACCACACGTGCTCTTATACTATTACGCTATTCTATACTTACAAATAGGATAACAATTATCTTCAGGATGTTTTACGTGTACTTAGGCTTACCACCTTATAACAACTACTTTTCAGGATGTTTTAACAATGACAATTCCCTTCAGGATGTTTTACGTGTACTTAGGCCTACTGTTTTATAAAAATATCTTCAGGATGTTTTACGTGTACTTAGACCTACTATTACATAATAATTACCTTCAGGGTGTTTTACGTGTACTTAGATTTACCATCTTATAAAAATTACTTTTCAGGATGTTTTAACAATAACAATGCCCTTCAAGATGTTTTACCTGCACGTAGGCCTAACATCTTGATTAAAACAATTACTTTTCAGGATGTTTCAGGTACACTCACTATGTTTTCTGTTTCTATTTTTAAAGCGACTGCGGTTTAATTAGTCGAGTTCAAACTAAACGGAAACAAATATAATAGAAAACGGTAAAAGTTAGCTGGAAACAATAATAACTAGGGATCTTGTACAATTACTAGATGCCTTTATTCTCTAAAGAGAAACAAGTGTAATATTGAAACTAATCACCACACTCATAGATAAATTGAAACAACGACAACATGAAATTTATAAGCTCACACAAGGCAACAAAGTTCTCGCTACCACTTGCAGAAGGCTTCGTTTTTTTATTGCGGCATTAGTTTTCAATAAGAGAGCTTTAGCACTGACTGAGTAGTTTAATTAGTATGTTTGGAGTTAAGCACAAAGCTACGCAATGGGCTATCTGTGCTCTGCCCACCACGGGTGTCGAAACCAGGTTTCTAGCGTTGTAAGTCCGTAAACATACCACCGTGTCACTGGGGATGTTACTGTCATATTTTATAATTATAAAAATATGAGTGTTTGGACATAAAATATATCATTGTATACACTATTGTAGTTTATACATTTATTGTATAACTTTTCTTTCCTCGTCCACAGACATACCACTGTGCCGCTGGAAAGCTAAACAGAGAAGATCAACATCAACAAGATGAACTTTGGTTTGGATTGGTTTGAATTTCGTGCAAAGCAACACGAGGGCTATATGAGCTAGCCGTCTCTAATTTAGCAGTGATAGAGTAGAGGGAAGCTAGCTAGTCAACACCACTCAGCCACTTAGAAATAATAGACCAGAGGGAAGGCAGCTAGTCAACACCACCCACCGCCAACTCTTGGGTACTTGTTGTCAACGGATAGTGTCAATAGGGAACTGAAATGGCTCCATATAATATTTGGATGAAGATTTTCAAACATATTTTGACATACATGATAGGTAGGTTACTTATGACATATTATTATAGCCTTCCCTCGTCATAATTTCTAAGATGGCGGCCACTAAAGCGTACATTGCTGTAGGATTTGTGTCAACTTATTATGAAATAGTTACCGCAAAACGTTAAAACCTCATAATATGTATCTTCTCCAATGATATTTAATGGAAACATTTATATTATGATGTTTCATCCCGGGCAAGCAAAATTTTTAAATGTTTTGACTATGTATCTGAATCAGGGAGTAGTTTCAGGTATTCTGCCCACTACTCCAATGAATCTGCAGTATTGTCATTTAGGTTCATGTGTAGAATCCCAGCCGTGATTACCTGAATAAAATACAGTCTGCTCATGTGGTAATTGAAATGGAATGGATGGATGAAAATCGAGCACAGTATCCTAATGTTCTTGTCTTTGACACACTAACAGCCCAAGCTACATGTCGTCCGTCCACATGATGCTGTGACATAGGAAATCCACACTAAGTTATATACTTTCGATGCTATAGTCTGTGACCAGAGTTTAACCTATAACAACTCACTAGCCCATTTAACCTGTAGAAATTTACTTGCCTGTTTAACCTGTAGCAATTTACTAGTTTGTTTAATATGTAGCAACTTACTAGCTTGTTAACCTGTAGCAATTTACTAGCTTGTTTAACCAGTAGCAATTTATTAGCTTGTTTAATCTGTAGCAACTTACTAGTTTGTTTAACCTGTAGTAATGTACTAGCTTGTTTAACCAGTAGCAATTTATTAGCTTGTTTAATCTGTAACAACTTACTAGCTTGTTAACCTGTAGCAATTTACTAGCTTGTTTAACCAGTAGCAATTTATTAGCTTGTTTAATCTGTAGCAACTTACTAGTTTGTTTAACCTGTAGCAATTTACTAGCTTGTTTAATCTGTAGCAACTTACTAGCTTGTTTAACCTATAGCAATTTACTAGCTTGTTTAACTTGTAGCAATTTACTAGCTTGTTTAACCTGTAGCAATTTACTAGCTTGTTTAGCCAGTAGCAATTTACTAGCTTGTTTAATCTGTAGCAGCTTACTAGCTTGTTTAACCTGTAGCAATTTACTAGCTTGTTTAACCAGTAGCAGTTTATTAGCTTGTTTAATCTGTAGCAACTTACTAGCTTTTTTAACCTGTAGCAATTTACTAGCTTGTTTAACCTGTAACAATTTACTAGCTTGTTTAATCTATAGCAATTTACTAGCCTGTTTGTAATGGAACAGGATGTAACTGTCAGTGTTTCCGGATGTACGACTCCCACTCTGCCTCGTCTTTTCCACCTTCTAAGCTCTCCGTACTCCAAAACGGACCATTTCAAATCGGGTCACGCTGTCTTACCTGAGCAAGGCGTGGCCAAGAGGTTAGCATGCCGTGCTGTGGATCGGAAGGTACAAGATTCGAGCTAGCACATTCAGCTATAGCCACGTTATGAAACAAACATTCAATCCTGCCATTCGAGTTAAAACAGCCTTGTAAGCGGCTAGCGCTGCTTACAGGCTGTCCTCCCTCTGGTCAGCAGTTTAAAATTTGAGACAACTAACCCTGGACCTTAGGCTACTGACCCGGTCGTTTAGCCCATGTGTCGTATAAGGCACCGTTTAGGTTGGAAACACATGAATAATTTTTCCTGTAATTACTGTGTTAAAGCACAACTATAGATCGTCCAGTAACGTGACGAGTGCAACATGACTTCCACTATTACTTACGACAAATAACGTATTCAAGATTATCCATAACCTTTGAAATTATATTACAGACACCAATTTATCACCTAATGATGAAGTGGGCCATTTCAGGCACTTCATGTTGTTTCGATATTTGTTTACCGTGTTTAATTATTATAATAAAAAGCAAAGTTTTGATTTTATGCTAAAATAATACAGATAGTCTGGAACGGTTAAGTCGTTGAAGATTACCAAAAATTCAAATATTTGATCTATCACGTATTCTCTAAAACATTGTATGCCACTTAATCAAATCGACAGCCTTGTAAGTCAATAATGTATAACACAACCTGTAGACATTCTAACAATTTTCATCGTAACCATTGGTTGATGCTGGTGTATAGTGCGTTTTGATATTCTACATATCTCTCCAGGGGGACGCCATCCATAAAAACTTCAAATTCAGTACAGTGTAGTGGACCTAAATCTCCTCGAAAACAAGTAGATCATAGTTGTTGAAAAACACAGCATCATCCCTGTTGTAAAAATGCTTTCCAAATTACATGCCTTAAACATAAAAAATGTACTTATCATTTTAACAAGATATAACTTTTCAAGCTGAAAATGAAATCACGAGAAAGCGCGTGTATATAATAAAGTTAGATACATCTTGGAATAGTTTTATATTTTATTATTATTATTATTATGCACAGAATCCAACTCCCTTGTGTTGAGTGATTTGAATTTTAAAAAGGTCGTATTATTAAGATGTCTACCTGAAGTTGTGACAGACAGTACACTGTTGTATAAGCTAATATGCTCACATAACCCGTGACTGTTTTCACAAAAAAACAAAGATTGACGAAAATTCTCTTCGGATCATAATAATTCCTGATTGAGTAATATGTTTTCTTTATTGAGTTTGCTGTTAGCAGGCTAAAACTATTTAAAATAATAGTGAAAAAGGATTATTTCATCGACTACGGGTTATATATATATATATACACACCTACATGGTTTTACGAACTAACGATAAGCCTAACTTCACAAACAATGCTAAACAATCGCTTATATGTTATCTTTCTTGTATCTATGGTACTTCTCGTACACTTATTTCTTCTTCGAAACACAAACTCAAGTTCACGAAATTTAAGTAGCATCAAACCAATTAACAAACTCGCTAACTTAATATCCAATCAACCACTGTAACAGACTCACTAATCAATCAATGACATTTCTACTCTAGTGTAACTCGCGTTTTTATATCACTCGGATGGTCTCCAGACATTAAGCCACATGTTCATCACCTAACATCAACACTCTGTCTAATGGAACAACAATACAAACGTCCAAATTAAAAATATAGCTTACAACACTGCCTTCTCCCAGAATTAGGAATTCCATTGAAAAATTATATTACACACAGAAAACAATGGTACATTAAACTTCCAATCAATAACAAAATAACATTTTTACAACGGGCAACACTGATGTTCGTAAATATTTGCATTAAAATAATTAAATCGTTACTGGATGGTGTAAAATGTAAGTCACTATTTTGATTAAGAAAAAATATCTTTCTTTTTTTTCTCGGTTTATTGTCCCTAAATTATTCAGTCACCAATCTTTCTGTTTTTTCTATTTTTCGTTGCATATGGTACGAAGATGGACTGACATCTTGTCCTTTTTCAACACTTCTTATTTGTCATCAGGAAGTTCTCTTCAGGTTTAACAATAGTAGTTGTAGAACCACTGCCAATCCACTAGAGTCTTCATTCCTGGTGATACTCTAGAAGTGATCTCGACAAGAACCTCAGGCTCAACAACAGGTTAACTTACTTCTTGTGAACTCTTTCATGTAGCTAACCACTTGGCTGTTCTACAGTTCACGAGATTCGAAAGACGATCGCAACATATGACATTCGTCTTGAATCACCCGTCTTTTAGGATTCTGCTCTATTTCACTTTAGGCTGTTTGCCCTTATTAACTTGTGCTTCCCCCTGGTTACCACTGGAGGTTCAAGCTCTGTTTGTGTAATTGTCGTGTCATGCACGGGGATTTACTGGCCATATACTGTGAAATTGTTTGAAGTAAGTTCAACATCTTTGTTTGTTCATTAATTTTAATACCAATATGTACTATAATAATTACCAACACACCATGCTGTGTAGAGAAACTTCCTAAAGTGAGAGTGGCTTCCAACTTTCCTCTTAGTGGAACTTTGCCACCATTTGCTTTTCGCATTAATCCAATATCTTGCTTCATCCTTGGAGGCAACTTCCCAGCTTTCATAATGAGGTCATGTCTCACTGGTAATTGAAAAACCAGAGTCAATCAACGTGTTACAAGGCTCCTTATAAACAAATCTATTACTTAGTGGGCTGTATTATTTAAGTAAGTATCTTTGTGTCAGCAGGGCATGAAGTATTTTTATATTCTGGATATTACCTCCTTTGTATTTTATAAATGGTTGATGCATCACAGTTTCAGGTGTAATGTTTATGTTTTCCACACTTATAGCAGTTTCTTTTTTCTTTCATCCTTTGGGAGCACTTTCTATTTTATAAAGGTTTTACATAAAGATAATATGTCTTTTTTAAGTTGCATTTTAAACACCTTCTGTCTTGTGATCCCCCAGAGGCACAGTGGTATGTCTGTGGACTTACAACGCTAGAAACCGGGTTTCGATACCGTGGTGGGCAGAGCACAGATAGCTCATTGTTTAGCTTTGTGAATAATTAAAAACAAACAAACAAACAAAACTGTCTTGTGAACTTATTGACTTCAATCAAAGGGAGTTGATATTTTTCACACGGTTTGATCTGAATGCCATAATTCCTGAGTGCTTTTAGTTCATCATCTGTAACTTTGTTTGAATAAAGTTCGATCGCCAACTGGACATCTTTCTTTAAAGACGTACACCTACTTTACTTTAGTCCAATTATCATGTGTGAATAGGTCGTGTGTCAATAAATCTACCATTTAATGTGGGGTATTTAGATGAGGAAATTAGGCAAGTCTTTTCACATCTTCAGCAAGTTTGTCAATGGTCTTGTATTTAGTCTTCTCCTGCTGATGTGACACTCTTAACATGTTTAGTAAATTTGCCACTGATGCTTGGTAGTTATTATGGCTGTCTGTTAGAAAGTTGCTTAATGTTGTTGAACTTGTCATTTTAAATATGCAACAATAAAAATAGGTTGTTGTTCTCTGCTTCATCATTTATCATGTAAAATGTTTACAATTATAGTTAATATGCTTCCTATGTCACCTTCTCATCATAATCCATAGGTTTCTTATCTGGGCGATGTTGTTGAACTGACCTGCTAAGTTCCTTAGTTTGATGAGATAGTGATGTAGTCCAGGAAGGTCCTATAGTTTCAGATGACACACTAGAAGTAGTAGCAGATGTAGACCTGATGAGCTCTCCTAGTTCATTTGGTATAGATAGTTTGTTTGTAGTTGTTTTGATCCATAAATTTGCAATTTCAATTTCCAGATGTCTTATATTGGTAATGATGTTCGTTTAAACGCCTTTATTCTTCTTCTAATCTTTCTGCACTTTAATGATGTCTTTTTGTGCCTCTTCAATGTTGATTTTTACTTCACTGATACCCAATGAACGTCGCCAAGATTTTCGTTGGGGGAATTTGTTTCTGTTCGTGGCACATCTTTCTGTAACTACACATATTATGACAAGGACTTGATGATGAAAATTTATCTTGAAATAAATATTAATGCGACTTTAAAAAATAAACTGGATATTGGCTATTCCTTATTTAATTGAAGTTTATGTATTCTTCAAAACGATACATATGCAACTGGATATTGACTATTCATTATTTAATTGAAGTTTATGTATACTTCAAACTATACCATTTTTAATAATTATTCTACACCTTATTATATAATATAACTTTGATCCTCCAGGTTAAGTGATGTATGGTACTGTATCAAACTGATTAGGAGTATGTAGGTGTGAACAAACAACTGCAGTCTTTTGAAGCATATTAATTGCGTCAGTGTAAATTAAAATATGAAGGGATTTCTCCTAGCCATAACAAGATTTTACACGTTACTGTATGGTGTTTCCTTGCCCAGTACAGTGTCCATTCATAATGAATTCAAACTGGACCACTGACCATTCAGTACGATTGAATATGTTATATTTGTGTTGAGGATATTATTTCTGTTGTTAACCCACAAGTGGATGTGGCAGTCATGGAGTCAATGTTCATTTGTGTTCCAAAAAAGGATGTGTTTACACCCACCCTGACATCTCCCCTAGTAACACCCCTGCGTCTTTAAGTACTTCTTCAATTTTTTTAATATAATTCTTCTGTATTTGTTCAGTGTTATTATTATAAAGCTTCTGTACATTTTCTGCTGCTTCCTCGATCTTATCTTAAATTAAATATATTTTTCTTTGTAATTCTCACTAGATATTACATATTGTTCTTCTAATTTCTCTTTTAAATTCCTTTCTCTTTCTTCTCGATTGCCTTTCCATTGTTTCATCATTTCTAGCAAATTTTCAAACTCGCTTCGCGCATGCGTCGTCATCACCTTGAAGTCCAGTCTTGATTTTATTTTTACCAAAATAATCCCACTCCTGACATAAGTGTTATAACAGTTTATATTGTTGGCTCGTTTTTTTTGGACGCGTTAAAAATTATTATAAGTCCAGTGCATTTAATGATAACAAAAAATAAAATTATCCGAC